ATACGCAGGTGGCTCTACTAATTCACATGCTTGTAGCTCAAAAGAATAACTATCTATCTACTCTGAACCGAGTTGTTCGGCCGGAATCAGTTCGAGCTCTTCAGCTTCTTTTTGTAGCTTGAACTTGATAGCTCTCTCTGGCACTTTGCTAAGAAGAGGCAAAAGGTTGATAAGAATGATAAGCCTTTAGTTTCGAGGGTACCTTTTGTCCTTTTTGGTTTTCGTAAGCCTTTTCCATTGTGGCAATTGATCCAGTTCAGAATGGAGCTGGTGATGTTAGTCAAGGCCAGATTTTCTAGGCACTTTTTTTAAACATGTCCCTAAAAATTGCTTCGCGGCCTGGAATCTTCCTCGCTTTCAGGCCTCTTATGATCTTTTGAAGGTCCTGGTCACGTCGTTGATTTACCAGTTGAGGTAGCCTTGCGGCGGATGAATCAATCTTGTCTATTCGATTCCAAACTTCATTTGGGTGCTCATTTGAGCGGCCTTCTCGCTTCAAAGTATCTGCGAGACCTTCAGCCATGTTTTTATTTGAGTACCTATACCATCCCACCCATTGATGCCGAGTTCTTGGATCTTCTTTCCATCGGTTGTTTCTGACTTCTCAAGAGCTCGCATAATTTTGTGCTGCGCTGGTCAAGTGATATCTTATTCCTTCCATTTTTTCGGATTCCTTACTCCCTCCTAAGTCTTCCATTTTCGATCACCACCTTCGCTTTCCGGCATTGGCCAGGTTTCAGTGCATTCCTGATGCGATTCAATAATGCAAACCTGCAACTTTCCAACAGCATCCAGTTCCAACTGCTTAGTGCTATGGAGATTTAACTTATCTGGTCTTGGAGGCTTCGATTGTAGCTGTCTCACCTGGTGGTGCGCTTAAGCTGATTTTCCTGTTGTTAGTAGCTCGCTAGGAATTCACATAGGTGCTTTCTGGCGAGGAAACGCAGTCCTTCGCTTTCTCGTGTGTGGAATAAATGGAAATCGGGGGAGTATCTTCGACAATCTCGGTATAAACCTAGAAGACTATGCCTATAACTAGGGTATACTGACGTATCAAGTTATAAAGTTGGGTAATCATTTAAGCAATATTTGTTATGGACATGATTACTGGACAACTTTTTTCCAGTCATCTGGGTCTAGAGAACTCCTTCCATCATCCCAACCACACTACACTACAGACTGCAATCTTAATAAACAATAGGTACATGATAAACAGCTAGGCATAGAAGCAAGGTTCCTTATCTCCAGAGAAAAAATATCGTTTAGATTTTTCGAGTTTGGGACTGTCTGTATTTAAAAACAATGACACAATTTTCTAATTTTCTGGTATATCATTTGGGACAGTGGGTCATCCTGATATAATTGTCCATCTTTGGAATTTACTCGGTTACATTAAGTTTAATGTATTCCTGGCTGATGAAAGGGTCAGTAGAAAGTATAAGTTTATGGAAATTTTAATTATTACCTAATCAAAAACATAAATAAATAGATTTTATTCTACGATATTATGCCGATTCGTCCAGACATAATAAATCAATTGAGAAAAACACTTTGTGAATTGTTTTTCTAGTCATCCATAAAACAATGCGACAACATTATCAGATGAAGGTTACTTGTTTTGGAACCTTTCCTACTAATCACAATATTTTTTTCTATTTTAATCCATTTTGCCTTGTTATTCGACTACCGCATTGTCACATGTAATCCAGAAGATTATTTAATTTGTAAAATTTGACCAAATAAATGATATATACCCTTGAGAAATTTAATTAAACGTTTAAAATATTTGTGGAAAAAAAGCTTGAATAAATACATTTCATTTTAGCACATGAAGTCGATTTGTCCAGACCTAATAAATCAAATGAGAAAAATACTTCGTGGATTGTTTTTCTTGTCATCCATAAAACAATAGGACATCATTAGGAGGCGAAGGTTACTTGGTCACAATATTGCTCTTGGACTTATAACATATTTTTGTATATTCTAATCTATGTATTTTATTTTGTTATTCGACGACTGATGGATTTAATCTAGGAGATTATCTAACTTGTGAACTTTTATTCATTAGATTTGAATATCTTTGGCAAAAAATTTATCCGAGATTCAGAATTCGTAGTAGAAAACCCTCCTAGACATAAACGCATGAGCTGCCCAATTTATACTGTCAAAGAAATTTGAAGTTAAAATTCCTGGACTAAATATTAGAATTTGCTTTAAACAACTGTAGAACAAGGTGATAAATAAGTAGGAAAGGTTTCTTCCGGTGTCATTTGCCTGATCTAAACCAAAACGGAAAAAGAATTATTAAACCTTAATAATTATTTCTATCGCAATGAATTAAATTCGTCTTCAACATTAAGTAAAACCGACATTGGTATTGCTATTGACTTTCGCCAGTTCTACTTCTTGCAAAATTACACCAGCTTATATGAATTCAAGTTTGTTCCTTCTAGTCAGTCATTCGTCAAATGAGCACTGTTAATGACGTTGGATAATAATAATTACCAATAAATCGGATTTCGGCTACACGATTTCGTATTAAATGTCTCGAAAAATATCCGGTAATTTAGATATTGTAGGTATCAGCAGTTTTTGTCTTTTTTTTTTCTCGGGCCTGTCCGACTTAGGACGGGTATTATAAAACTATTTTGACAGAAAACTTGCAGAAAATAGACTAGCAAATGATACAAGGACAAGGAGAAGGTATATTGGAAAGTGCTATTTGAGTACGCGAGTTTCACACGACCGACGATAACCAGGCGAAAGTCAAGAACGATGTCCATCAGTTTGGTAGTGCCGCACCAGAATCAGTATAAACAGACTGGTTTAAGTCGAGTACAAATATAACACGATAATAATTATATATTTTGAATCTGATATTATATGAATTTATAATTAATAATTTGCCTACGTCGTTAAAAAAATTTAAATGAAACTGAAAGTACAGATATTACAGAATAAAAATTATCAGAAGCTCCCCCTGATAACATTGGCTGAATTTTGGAGAAAATTTAAAATAAACACTTAGCTTAGCCCAAATGTTTATCAGTTTTGATATTTTCTATTATCAATATTGAACTGGAACCTTAAGCGGGGTTCTCACTAGGCCATTTCATAGATCAATATCATTGAATCTATGCTATTGAAGTAAAATAGACTAATGTGAACATATTCAATGATATTGCTCAATGATTTTGTGTTTCAATCAAATTGGAAGGCATTTCTACTTTTAATGGATCAACGGGATTGATTCAATTAAATTGAACGGTAATTGACCGTAAGAACGAGCGTGTTCAGCCGCATTGAACTGCCGGTGTGTCTATTTTGACTATTTTGAGGTTAGAATCAAAACCGAACCGCTCGTTACATTTAAAATTTTTGTGAGATAGTGTTTTTGGGCAGTCGGTACAGTGCACCCAAAGACGGAAAAGAATCTCCAGTAGCTAAATAACTTAGAACTACTTGTAATTTGAGTCTTGCTGAAAGAGCGTCCCTTAATGGAGGATTTTTTTTCTGTATCAAGGGTGACACTTTCTGTAGAAATTCTTCAAATTTCTCTTCGGTCATTCTTGAGTGGTTCCTATAAGCATCCTGGTCACCTGTTCCCCATTATTTTATCAGCTTCACAGAAGCACCTTCATATTATATACGTTGTTTTATCCATGGTCTAACCCACCATCGACGAAGTTTTCTATTTTTCCTGTTTTTTTATCGCGGTTTTTAAATACTCACAGAAAATAGGAACACCGGCACGCAGAATTTTCCTCTTTGCAGCCATTTTTAAAACACACTAGATCTTCAATGTTATTGGAAAATGTGAACAAGTTTTCCATTCCATTCTATGTTCAATCCTATAGATTCAATAATACTGATCCATGAAATGGCCTAGTGAGAACCCGGCGACAGATTTCATGATTAACGGCCGACACGAGTTTTCGGCATCCTTTAAGTTATTCTCATACCAAATCTGTTGACCCCGATAATCCAGGAAATTGCGACATATTCGGTTTTAAACAAATAAGTTATATTTCTAGGAAAAGAAGAACGGTCAATGGCCACTGTTGTGTAAAGTGGCACCGAAATATTGTTAGGGGAACGAAAAATATAAAAACAGCGGTTTTAGAAGTTTCAGTTCAGTCTTCATATCAGTTCAGTTGAGTTCAGTCTCCAGTTCAGTTCAGCTAGAGTATTGAGTCTTGAGTTTCCAGTAAGATTAATGAGTCAGTCCGGATATAATTGCGAAGAATTTTGTTGCCTCGGGAAAACGCGCTAAATCAAACTTTGAAAAAGTAACGGAAATTTTTAGAAGAAAGAACATTTAAATTCGTTCAACATTATGTGCGAGCTCTAAATAATCAAAAGAATTATTTTAGATTAGTTTAGTGTTTTAAGGACGAAATTCAAGTACTCTAGTGACATGTTTTATTTGACTTTATCAATGATTCGAAACACTATGAAGTAATTGAATTGACTATGGAACATTATTGCATATATGTTATAACACAGTTTGTTATAATTTTGAGTGGAATGACTATTATTATTTTTTGTGCTTATTACAGTTAAAGAAAGGTAATTCAAATGACTCTTAACTGAAATTGTAACCATTAAGACACCAAAGCACCCTCTACCTCGGTAGAAAACACCCAATGACACCAGTCCATGACCAGTCGAGAAAAAAAGGTGTAAAAGGAATTGTCATAGAAGGCGTAAGCGTTGTCAACACGTATTTTCTACTTCAGAAATCTTTATTGCTATATTTTTGCCTTTTGTTTAATTAGTACAGTATTTTGAAATAAATATTCGGGCATTTAGTTAATCAACGTGTACCGTATTACATTTTTTTCCCAGTGCACTCTTGATCAAAACACGCCAGTTAAAGTGGCGCCCAACGTGGGGCAAGTTAAAAATGAAGTTTATTTTGACTGTACTCTTGTTGACTAGATAGATTTCTGAAGTTTTCCTGTGAGTTTTTCGATTGTGGTCATAATTCATCTTACCAGCTTCACCAAGGACACCAATTTCATGCATTTACGTTCAGGTAGGATGTCGGAAAGCACTGAATCCAATGAAATGGAAAATCACGAAGACAATCATGATAATGACATTATTCAACAAGTAGTAATGTCGTCAGAAATGTTACAAACTCTTATACAGAGCCCTACTATAAATCAAAATGCCAATTTAAATAATTCAGAGCGAGGTAATTTTGCCAAATGCACAGTTCGTTTTGATGGTTCATATAGCAGTGTTGTGAATACGTTTATTGATACCATCCTTATTTATGAAGACTGCGTGAATGTTTCTGAAAATAATTCTCTAAAGGGTTTTTCCATGCTTCTAGAAGGTCAAGCTGCAATATGGTGGCAAGGAGTAAAATTCAGTGTTGTTACATTTGATGATGGTATATGTGCATTACGAAATGCTTTTGGACAAAAAAAACTTTCACATCAACTATATCGTGAGTTATTTTCTAAAGAACAAGGTAATGAAGAAAAAACTGAAATTTTGTAAGCCGATGTCGAGCCATTTTCTCCAAATTTCCAATTAATCACCAGGTTTCTGCAATTTGTCAGTTAGATATGGTTTATGGTCTATTGAACTACAATATTAGAAAGAGATTTCCACGAGAGAATGTTGATAATGAATGATGATGAACTTTTTCCGGGCTTGTGGGCCGTGATCTATGGGTTTTATCTATCCCTGACGTTTCGTCTGCGCCTTCACTCAGAATGTTGATAATTTCAATGAGCTTATTCAAAATGCTCGAACTGCAGAAATCACTCTATTGGAAAAGAAAACTCACGATTCTGTTAAATCGAGCCCCCACAAAAAAGCTAAAACAGAAGAAAAGAAGTCTTCATTGAAATGTGTTTATTGCAAAAATTATGGTCACATCATAGAAGATTGTAGAAAATTGAAACAATAGGCTCCTTGCATCAATTTTTTTTATTGCTGATTTCGATAGTCCATGAAACATAAGTTAACACGTGTTTTTTCTTTTTCTTCTTATCATCTGCCTATGACGTCACTTATCTAATAGATTAGCGACGTTGCACATGCTCAGTATATCTATATATACAAAACTTAATATTTGAATAACTTCCGGAATAATCATATTTGGGCGAAATAAAAAAAAAGTAACGATTTTTTTTCGATTTCCTACAGTTTGCAATAAACAATAATCAATTTAATTTTCCATGCAAGTACCCTATTGAAACAAAACTCTAGACTGGAAGAAACAGGTCGGAAGTCAGAAGATCCGCAAGAAAAAAAAAATGTTTCTACGGTAATTTCTTGCGACGGTTGCGGAAAAACAAGGTTACATCAAAAGCAACTGTCCAAATTGTCGAAAATTAGGTTCTTCTAGTAATACTTCATCAGGCCAAACGTTCTCTATAAGTGCCAAAGCTGCTGAAGTCTTCTATAATTTTTCAGATGTTGATTCTTAAATTAAACCTATGGTTGCAGTCAATATTATTGGTCATACTGGCCTTGCTTGTTTGGATACAGCAGCAAATCATAGCCTAGCTGGTGCTGCGCTTATGAAACTTCTCTTGAAAGAAAAAGCTCCTTATATTCAACAATTGTTGATTAAACTTGCAGATGGCTTAGAGAGGACTGTAACTTCTCTAGTTTTTAATGTTGAAATCATTCTGATGATAAAATTATTTCAACATCACTTGTTGCCATTCCAGAACATATCAATAGTAGGACTTTACTTGGTTTAGACTTCATTGAACTTGCCAATATTGTGATGGATTCCTCAGGGACAATGGTATTATGCTGAAAACTCCACGATTTTCGTATCTATTTGAAGATGAGACTAATTATATAATAACTACTGCGGAATCTACTCCAATGTTTTCTGCACAACTGAATGCATCACAATTGAGAGAAAATGGAGGTGTACAACTAAGCAAACTGGAAAAGCCACAAATTGAATTCTTACTGCACCAATATGCTGAATTATTCACATCCGGTACTGAGCCAACACCATATGCAGAACGTACAGTAAAACTGACTGATGATATTCCAATTTCTGTACCACCTTATCAGGTGCCTGATTGCCTGAACAAAACAAAAACATATTGAGGGCAGAGCTGGATGAGCTTCTGAAAGATGGAATCATAGAAGAATGCGAATCCTGGAATCCCCGTATGCTGCTCCAGTTGTTCTAGTACCTAAACCTGATGGTAGTATTCGCCTTTGTGTCAATTATCAACGCCCAAATGAGAAAACAGTTTCCGATAAATACCCACTTCCTAGGATTGATGATCTATTACACACTGCAAAACAAACAGAGTATATGACCACTCTTGATTTAAAATCAGGATACCATCAAGTCTCTGTCCGCGAATCTGATCGAGATAAAATTTATTTGCCCATTTGGAATTTTCCGTTATACGAGGATGCCATTTGGAATGAAAACTGCACCCTCCACCTTCCAAAGAATCATTGATCGATTCAAATCCGGACTCCAAGATTTAACCATATTAGCTTATATAGACGATTTGATTGTATGTATTATCCAGAACTTACCAAAAACACCTTTCTGATTTACAACGAGTTTTTGACCGACTTGTAGCTTTCAAGCTTCACCTCAATCGATCCAAATGCCATTTTGTGTGCTCTTCTGTGAATTATTTGGGACACGTAATTACGCCCCAAGGAATCCAACCAGATCCTTCTAAAATCACTGCTATTCTGGAGAGACCTCCTCCTAAAAATGTGAAAGAGCTTTTGCCTTTGTCCAAACATGCTCTTGGTTCCGGAGATTCATTTCTTCATTTGCAGAAGTTTCAAAGCCCTTAACCTCCTTAACAAAGATGAAAGCTATTTGGAAATGGGAGAAGAAAGAACAAGATTCTTTCGACCTTATGAAACAACTTTTAATTACTAATCCCATACTCCGACAGGCTGATAGTACATTGCCTTATATACTCAGAACTGATGCTAGTTCATACGCTTTAGGGGCAGTTTTACTCCAAGGGGAGAAGGCCGATGAAAGACCTGTTGAATATGCAAGCGGACTACTCACACCTGCTGAGATGAACTATCACACTACAGAAAGAGAAGCTCTAGCAGTTGTGTGGGTTGTGGAGAAATTTAGAGGCTACCTGGATGTTTTCAAAAATGGACCTTTTAACTTCTGTAACCTTTTAACTTTCTGACATTAGATCGAGGATACCCTACACACCAAAAACACACGAAACAAACATTTTCATAAACATTTTTAAAAAAAAGTTACAGGAGTTAAAAAGTCCATTTTTGAAAATTCTTTAAGATAAAACAAAAGCAATGATAAAAAAAGGGGGAACTTAAGGCCACAAGTGTATTAATAAAATATCTTCGAAAAGGGCCTATCTATACGCACATCAAGTTTGGTGCCAAACACCCTGTATATTATTGGATGGCTAATTTCTTATGTTAAGTTCTAGTCCACTTCACTTCTATATTTAAAATTTAAAAAGCTTACTGAATCTTCACTTTGATAACAATGTTTGCATATTTTTTTCAATTTTGAGATCTTAGAAAGTAGTTAGTAAACAATATACCTATTTAACATTCTATCTATAACTAATTTACATTTTGTGCCTAATATGCAAATATTTTTACTGCATAGATGTAGGTTGAACGACGTAAAAACGTGAAGATATCCATTAATGTAGGCAGCTTAAACGCAGTCATACCCGACAAGAAAATTTCTCTTTCTACCGTTCCTAGAAATGTGGTTCATTCATTGAGAATCATAATAAGATATTACAAAAATTAGATACGCAGGATAAAGATTTCGTTAAACTAAGTCAAAGGTGCGAAAAATTGGAAAATAATTACATAAAAATCGAAAGGCAAAACAGGAAAAATAACATTATTTTATTTGGATTGGACATTGACAAATCAATAAATCTAGTACAATTCATTGTAACTAAATTTAAAGAGTTATTGGACATCGGACTGAAGGAAATCGACATTAACAATATTTATGTCCTAAGGGCCAAGAAAGGTACACCAATAAAAATTGAATTCACGACCTATTTAAAAAAATCCGAAGTTTTTCGATGTGCCTACAAATTAAAAGACACAAACGTTTATATTGCGCACGATATGTGCTTTGAAGACCGTCAAGAATACGATATTTTGAGAAAGCATTTCAAAAGAGGAAAAGAAACCAATCTAACTTGCAAAATTAAAAACTTAAAACTAGAAATAAACGGGACTTTGTACTCTGCGGAGCAACTTGAAAATAACCAAGAAAAAATATACAAAAAACTAAAAATTCCCCAAAGAAGCCTTTCAAACGAATCACTACCATCCAATGTTTTCGAAGAAGAGGCAACTCTTAAAGAACCAAATTTAGAAGAAAATTCCGACAACCTTTCCAAAAAATCGAAGAAAAACACACAAGATGACGATTATATAACATCAAAAGGAGTGAAAACAAGATACAGAATCCGAACCTAGTTTCTTCGATGTCACACTTTCCCGGTATTAATTTCTGTAATTATAGCAAACAAATCTCTTACTTATATAATTCTAATTTTTAAAAGCTAGCAGGGTATGGACAATACACAAAAATTGAAACTGGATTTATTCTGGAATTGATAACAAAACTATCTAACCTACATTTTTATAAAATAAATGTCTTTGACTGCAATAGTTTATGGATAAGATAAGTACAGTTAGTTTACATTGGTTGCTTGTCTGATTAATTGATTATCTATATTTTGTTACTTAAGCACATGCCTATATCATTTTAAAGTACTGTTTGTTATTATTTTTATAGTGTAATGCTGGACTGTATTTAAATATTGAGGAAGATAAATGGTTTTTCTTTTGGTATTTTTAGTGAAATGAATCTGTTTACTCGAGATTTTGCCTCTCAAGACATTGACGCAACTGACATAACAAACCAAATTTTTTTCAAAAATTACACCAATGATGAGAAGAGCTTGAAAATATTTCATTTGAATGTTAGAAGTATACATCAAAACTTTGACAAACTCTTGTGTTTACTGAATTCGATAGACCTTGATTTCGACTGTATTGTACTCACAGAAACGCATTTCATTGCCGACCAGCAGCTTTTTGAACTGGACGGTTACACATCTATATATAACAAAGGTTTATTGAATAAATGTGACGGAGTTATTGTTTATATTAGAGACACTTTGTCCTACACACAGAATTTTAAATTTATTGGGCAGGTAAAAGCAATAAATATATTTATTGAAGGCCAACTAAATAACAAAATTTGCTTAACATGTATTTATAAATCCCCAAGCATTGGAAAAGATATTTTTAATACCGATTTGGCTCAGTATCTCGAAAGTGTAAAACATAATAAAAATCACATTATTGTCGGGGACATCAATATGGACCTTTTATCGGAAAAACCAGAAGACGAAGAGTACAAAAACATTTTGAGCTATTATCATTTTATATCCTACATTAATAAAGTTACTAGGCCTCAGTCGAAAACCTGTTTAGATCACTTTTTGGTAAAAATGTGTAATCAAGACACTTTAGAAACTCAGCCAGAGTCATTTTTATTTAAACTTGATATAACGGATCACTATCCCATTGCGTTAAATATTTTAACCAAACAACAGCAGAAAACCTACACAAAACAATTTAAAAAATTTATTAATTACAATCAATTGAAAGGAGACATAGGTAATGAAAACTGGTATTCGGTGTACGCAACAAGTGACACAAACTCAGCAACCGATATTTTCTTAGATAAATTGCTACTATACATAAACAAACATACAAATACAGTACAAACAAGTAATAGAAGAAATGGAAAACAAAAATGGATCACAAAAGCGTTACTTAAAAAAATACAACAAAAACATGACTTATATATACAGCATGTAAATGAACCCCACAATGAGGAACTAAAAACGAGATATCAAAATTGCAATACTGAGGTTAACAAAGAAATAAAAAAATCAAAAAAGAGTTACTTAAAAAGACAAATAAATGCAAATAGAAATGAAAATAAAGCTCTATGGAACTGTGTGAATGATGTATGCAATAGCGGTAAAAAAACTAAAACCAAAAAAATTAAAACAATTAAACTTACTTGCGGAAAAACAATAACAAACGAAAAACAATTAGCAAATCATTTCAACAAGTTTTTTAGCGAAATAGGAAAGAATTTAGCCAATAAAATTACCAACCCTTTAAACATGAATCCAATAAACGAAAACTTCATTGAAAATTCCATGTTCTTACGCGAGACGACACAAAAAGAAGTAATTGACACTATAATGAGCCTAAAAAAAGGTAAATCGCCCGGTATTGACGGAATTAGGAGCGAAACTCTACAGGAGATTAGGAATGAAATAGCAAATCCATTGACATACTTGATTAACCTATGTTTCAAATCTGGAGTATTTCCAGATAAGTTGAAAGTTGGTGCAATTACACCAATACACAAATCTGGATCAGTTGAAGACACAAATAACTACAGACCAATTTCGCTAATCTCTAACATTGCAAAAATCTATGAAAAAATCTTAAAAATACGAATAGTATCATTTCTGAATAGGTTCTCTGTCCTTTCAGATAAGCAATATGGCTTTCGAGAGAAAAAATCAACCGAAGATGCAATAGCGAAATTAACTTCATATTTATATGAGTCCATGGACAAATCACAACCTTCTTTGTGTATCTTTGTTGATCTCTCGAAAGCCTTTGACACGGTAGACCACAGCATTCTTTTAGAGAAACTCAATACTTATGGCTTTAGAGGTATTGTTAATGATCTGCTACAAAGTTATCTTACCAACAGAAGACAACATGTAACAATAAATGGTACTCAAAGCTCATATCAGACAGTCACCTGTGGCGTGCCGCAAGGCACCGTTCTTGGTCCAATAATGTTTATTATTTATGTAAATGCCCTTTTAAAAATGGATATTGCAGGAAAAATTATCAGCTATTGTGATGATACTGCTATATTCTACACCAGCGAGTCATGGACAACACTTAAACAGATTACGGAAAGGGACTTCCTAAATATTTCTAACTGGTTTAAAATTAACAAACTTTCTTTAAACACCACTAAAACTAGATACCTAAATTTCTCGTCATACGCTACCGGCTTGCCAAACATGGGCGTTCTCAATATTGATGACGATACCTCTATTCAGGAAAACGATTCCATAAAATACCTTGGAATAACGTTGGATCAGAATCTAAGATGGAAACTGCATAGCAATCAACTTGCAGGGAAAGTCCGAAACTTAATATCTAAATTCAAACGCCTTAAAGATTTCCTTGATATAAAATCATTGAAAACACTTTACTTTTCGTTGGTTCAATCACAGCTCACATATGGACTTATTGGCTGGGGTGGAGTAAGGGAATGTCATATTAATACAGTAGAAATTATTCAAAAATGGCTTCTTAAAATAATCTATGAAAAACCCAAATTATTTCCCACAGATCAATTATTCAACGAGACCGGAATATTTGACATCCGACAACTTTATGCTCAAAATTTATTGATAAATTTACATAAAAACAAAATTGAACTTGAATATGTACAACATCCTCACGAGACCCGCGCTCAAAATAGAGACGCGGTTCTCCCGCGGAGTCAGAAAGCTGTTGGTCAACAATACTACAAATCTTACGCCCCCAGAATTTATAATCTTCTTCCAGAAAATATAAAACAAAAAATTAACCAAAAAAACTTCAAATCTCATATTAAACCATGGATAAAAATAAATCGCCATACTCTTAGAAATTTTTTCAAAAATCTATAAAAAATAAATTGATCGTAAACCTAAAAAGTGACCATAAAACTCCCTATTTTGACACACCCTCGATTTTGACATGCACACCCGAATAAGACAACTTTACCCGAAATTGACGCACTACCCAATTTAGACAAATAAGAAAAATACCATCACGTACAAGCAATACAGTTGATGCATTGCTTCTGTGATTACTGTTTATTTTACTGTAAGATAAAATTATTATAATATTTAAGCATATGTTTGTACCTATGTATCTTTGGTAAATAAACTTTATTATTATTATTATTATTATTATACAAGCATTACGACTTGTGAAGAAATTGGGTTGTTGACATCCGAGATCCTGAAGTCAATGGTCTGCTGTTGAATAATTTACAATTAGGAATAATAATTATTCATCGGTTACATGTAGGGTCTTTTGTGTCTGCGAAGCGAATAAGTAACAAATCCGAGTGGAATTTTTAGAAATAAATCACAGAGCTTAAGAAAGTTCTTATCGTAAGGACTGTTGTGATTGGATGTGATTAATCTGATTTAAATGTACCCCAAATGACATAGTTGGGTTCATTTACTATTAACAATCTGGAAAATGTTAGATTTTTGAGTATTTATGTAGATAAGGCCCCAAGTTTTGCAATACACTAAGGAAAACCACCTATTTAAAATATTATTTCTTTGAATCTTAACATTTTAAAAAAACGTTTACTGAATAAAAGTAAAGGTAGAAGAGAATGGGAAACTAGATGACTTGCCTAGAGAAGAAGCTGGGCTGGTCCCTGAAGACGCTCGGCTGTTCATTATTCAATTTAGTTAATAATTACTTAATAATATTTCTTTAGGATCCAGATAAGTGTTGTTTGCACTCAAATTATTTTTTCATTTTATTTATTTAAATGCCTAAATTATAATTATCCCATAATAATTTAGTCTGTATAATTAGATTATCTAAAAACAAGCATATTAAGTTGTTTTTAAACATAGATCTTTAGACCTTATTTTATCATATTCATAACCATTTAGATATTAATTCATTTTAAGTTTAAACTGGATCATAGAGAAGGCAGTCGACACTAGACAGAGAACCTCGTTGATAGCGAGAAGTTATTTTGTACCTTTCAAAACATATAACCATAATAAAGTTATTCTTAAAAAAAATCCCAACAAGGTAAAGTTATACTTATTTCAAATTCGAAAACGGTTATTGGTGGCAGTAACTACAACAACATGCCAGTTGAATAATTGTTATTTTGTTTTTGAGAGTTCAATTTATACAAGTATTATTTTTTAATTTTTATGTAATTTTTGTATGTTTATAACATTTTTTGTAGCATGTGCATTGTTCATGTATTTAACAAAAATCGTTTCATGTTCATGTTTCTGTTCATCATTGGTTTCATGAATTTACTAACATTTTCCTACCCCTGGCTCAAAAACAACTATAGCTGAGTAGCTTCCCGTATGGGACCTCGGTACCTGCTGGTGAAACTGGCTATCTAATCAAAAATCTCTTAAGTATTGAATATAGATAGTGTTGATTGAATTTTGTGTGTGGAATTAAAATTTTAGCACAAAGACAAAGGATGGTACCTAATTTAAACTTATTGAATCATTGATTTAAATTATTGATTATTGATTAATGACTCACAATTATTATTAAAATGACACAGTATGTTTCGATTTTTGAGAAATTGA